ACCTACAATGTTGGGAGAAAAAAAATTACCAGCTGCTCCTCAAAGGACTATTATCTTAAAGAAAAAAAGGACGATTATCTAGAACTCAAAAAAATCAGGCCCCCAAATATAAAGACCTGATTAGTGAAATGAACAGACATTTCTCAGACAAAGAAGTAAAAGCAGCAAATATATGAAAAAATGTTGAAAATCACTGGTCATCTGAGAGATGCAGATGAAAATGACACTGAGATTCCACCTCACCTCAGAAAGAATGGCTGCTCTCAAGAAATCAACCTGCCTCAAAAGCGCAAGGACCTGAGTTCAATCCCTGGCACCAAAAAAAAGAAAAAGAAAAAAAAGAAATCAACCAATAAAGAAGTGTTGGCGCAGTTGTAGGGAGAAAGGAACCCTTCTCCACTGTTGGTGGGAGTGCAGACTGGTGCAACCACTGTGGAAATCAATATGGAGATACCTCAAAGAACTAGGATTAGAGGTTCCATTTGACCCACCCATCCCTCTGCTGGGTATCTTTCCAAGACAATTAAAAGAATCATACCTCAGTGATATATGCGCACCCATGTTTATAGCAGTACAGTTTGTAATAGCTAAAACTTGGAAACAGCCCAATTAATTTACCATCAGTTTTCGACTGGATAAAGAAGATGGGGTTTTTCTATAAAATGGAGTACTACTCAGCCATAAAGAATGAGAAACTAAGAGTCATTCGTAGGAAAATGGATGCATATTGAAGCCATACTCTTAAGTGAAATAAATAGGACACACATGTAAATACTGAAGTTTCTCTGCTGTGAAAAACTAAAAGTGTACATAAGATCCAAATTGTGTAACTGATAAGCTGAAATAGGAAGAAAAGGGCTAGAGGTGTAGGGGAAATGGGAAGGGTAGGGGAAAGGAAATAAGGGAAAAGAAAAAGTATGAGAAAAAGGAAAAATGGAAACAAAGTCTTTGTAAACAGGGGAGGGTGGAGGGGGTGAAGAGAGGGCAAGGGTATGGGGAAAAAATGAGAACCAAGACCTGTCATGTAAAGGTACGAGATCCCAACAATGAATGCAACTGTACTGTATACCTAGAATGTCCCAATAAGCTCAATGAAAAAAAAATTCTATGGTCCTTAAAAATGCTCTGAAGTTCCCTTCAGAATAGCTACAAAAGTTTCCACCAGTTTAAAAGATGAATAATTGTAATTTGTTCATATTCAGATAAGTTGATCCATTTCATTTCAACCCTTTTTTCCCAGTGATAATTCTTCCTGTTCATTTTGTAACATTTTTGTTGCAGATGTGCAGGATTTTTGCCCATTATGAATCCAATAAACTTTGTAGGTTAACCTTGATATTTACTGTTTATTCCGTGACTTGTTTGAAAGAACATTCTCAATTATAAAAAACTAATTTAGAAGATACGTGGAGCTTTGCAAACACAAGCCCCCTTTTACATTATGAAAGAATCTAGGTGTGTGAGCATTCACTGGAGAAATGTGTATTTATTGATTGTGTGCTATCCTCCAATCCTCTTCTTCAAGCAGGAGCTACAATGCTGAGCAAGACAAGGGCAGACGTTTAGTTGGGAAGGTTTGATATGAAGCAAGGAAGTAAATGAAGATGCTAATTCCAGACAGTGATAGTGCCTGAGGGGCCAGAGAGCAGGAAAAGTGCAGGAAGGGTGCTGCTTTTAGAAAGCTGTTCAGAGAAGGTCTCCCTGAGAAAGTGACCCTCAGACAGGGCTAACAGTGAGAAGGAGCCAGCTGCACAGAGAAGCTGGGGACGAGCGCTCCGCACCAAGGGAGCAGCTCCGGGGAAAGTTCTGGAGGAGCAACCCTGTGTGCCCCAGGAACACAACAGCCCAGTGTGGCCAGATCTTGGTCAGTTCAGGTCAGCTCTGCTGGTCACCTCAAAGACTTTGGGCTTGATTCTAAAAAGCTGTTTGATGCCAGGTGCGCTGGCTCATGCCTGAAATCCCAGCATGGAGGGAGGCTGAGACAGAAGAATCAAATGTTCAAGTCCCCCCGTACAACTTAGTGAGAACTTGTCTGTGGGGTGAGGGGAGACCTGGGGGTATAGCTCAGGGTAAAGGCTCTGGGTTCACTGCACAGTACCGCAAAGATGTATGCATGGATGGACGGATGGGAGGTAGGTAGGTAGATGGTTAGGAAGAAGGCATAGGGAGACCGTAAAGCAAAGCTTTGGCCCTGAGAAGAACGCACTGGCTTGTTTGTGAAGACCAAGGCAAGGATGGACAGGGGTGGGAGACTAAGAAGTAGTTCAGATGAGAAATGACAGTGATTCAACCAGGGTAGTTGAACCAGGCTGCACAGAAAAGATGTGGGAAGATTCAGAGTCTCAAATTTTGAGGAACTTCTTGAAATCTTCGAAACATAAGAAAACAGTAAGTGGCTGGTGATATCTGTCAATATTAGAATTTTAAAGAAAAAAGCACTATCATTTTTTAAATATTTGGTATATGATGCAGTAAATCAGGTAGTGCACATAGTCAAACATTAAATTGTTAAAATTACCTCCGATCTAGAAACAACCATTTTTAGCCTAACATTGCTTCAGATATCTCTCTCTCTGTGTATACAAAGGGACCCATAAATGGTTGCACGGACAGAAAGATACAGTCTATAACAGTGGATTCATACTACAGATACTTTTTTTAAATTTAAAAAAAGCATTAAAACTTGTGTTTGCATTTAACAGCAGGAGAAGTAGGGACAAGAAAAGCTAAGCAGCGGCTGGGGGCCCTGCCTCACAAGTGCAGGGTCTCAAGTTTGATCCCGATCCTGGGTACCAAAAAAAAGAAAAGCTAAATAATGGTTGGATATCTTCTTACTGTAAGAATTAGTTCCTAAAATATTTCCTTCTGTGGTTAGAAAAATGATTTTTTTTCCTTGAAAAATATGGTTTGAGCAGGAGCAGATTGAGATTTTGTGGGAAGTTAGGACCCCTGTTTAAGAATACAGGGTACATTTTGCAAACTTCACAAAGCCATGGCAGCATGAGGGTACGATGTGTGACCCCTTCGACAGCCAGGGGAAAAACAATCATTCATATAGGAAAAGGGCCTTGGAAATGAAGCTTTATTCACTCTATAGTCAACTCACTTCAAGGTTGGAATTATGTTTTTTAAATTGCATATTCCAGTTTTTTAAATTAGGCTGATTCCTTATTGTTAAAGATTTGCTGTTGCCCATCTCTCCTTGGCTAACAATTTTATTTTAAATAATTTGTATCCACGGTACGTAGAACATTTACTTTGTCTGTAGTCATAAATGCTGTGCTTATTTAAGAATTCTCAAAGTGTATCCAGTGTTTCCCAGTCCTTCACTATGCCTTCCCTGCTTCTGATTAAGTTCTTTGACTCGTCCCATAATTGCCTAGGTTGTTAATTGCTTTTTGTTCCTATTTCAAGAGAGACTCACGGATGTTGCATTTCTGAGTTCTGTTTCATTTCGTTAATATCTGTGGATGTCTTCCTGTAGCTTTTCAAATTGAACAGTTATCATGGCTGAGTACAATATTCTTACACCATGTTTGCTTTCTCTTACAGTTTTACACGCATTACCTCATTGTTTAATAGCATTTAATATTGCTTCCCTTTGTAGATTTTTTTTCCTGCCTGGATTCCAAATAATTCTTTATCCACATGGCTAGAATATGCCTATGTGTTGAATGATCTATGTCAAAATTTACACTACCACGTGCTTTTTTGAATCTGATATTGTAATCATGTCTTGAACGTTTTGTTTGTTTCATTTATACTGTCACCCCCTTTAGTGGCCAAAGTTTTCTTTTTGGATCATCTTTGTATCTCTTCCACATCTATCAGTTTATCTTTCAATATTTTGACTTTTTCATTTTTCATTTTTCCCTTCTTCAGTGTTAGTAATTTCGCTTTCTAGCAATGTCTACCTTGTTACTTAGTGTTCCTAATTGGTTTCTCTTTTTCTTTTTTTCATCAAGTTTATTGGTACATTTAAAGCAAACAATACAGTTACATTCATCATTGGGATCTTGTACACTCCATTCACAGTATGTCAGTCCCTTCTTCAGGGTTAGTAATTTCGCTTTCTAGCAATGTCTACCTTGTTACTTAGTGTTCCTAACTGGTTTCTCTTTTTCTTTTTTCCATCAAGTTTATTGGTACATTTAAAGCAAACAATACAGTTACATTCATCATTGGGATCTTGTACCTTTACACGATATGTCTTGGCTCTTGTTTTTTCCCCACACTCCTGCCCTGCCTTCACCCCTGCACCCTTCCCTATTTACAGAGTCTTTGTTTCCATTTTTGCTTTTCCCTTATTTCCTTTCCCCTCCCCTTACTACTTCCCCTCTAGCCATTTCCTAATTGGTTTCTTGATTTTAAAATTATGCTCCTTGGTCTTCAGTGTGCGTGCTTATATCTGTAACATCCCCTTTCACCTCAAGTTGCTTCATGATTCTGTCCTGAAAAAGCGGTTTTTACTGAAGCCATTCTTTCACAGTAGGAAGTTTGTGTAACGATTCCCTCTGTTGATCTGCACAAAGTTCTTCTAGATTTAGCTCCTTTATGCTGTGACTCTTACCCCTGTTTCCTCTTACCTTTAAAATGCTTGCCTATCTACTTGCTGTACCTTGTCGTCTTGCTGGTGCTTGGGGAGCTCTGCCCAGGCACAGTGTGAACAAGTCCTTAAACCTCTGCTACCTTTTGGGGGACCAGTGTGTTTCTTCTTTGAGTTCTGATTGATTTCCTAGACTTACCCACTTTCTGCAGTCTGAAGAGATTACAGAGGGAGCTCAAGCTAAGCCAAATGCAGTCTTGGTTAGATTTCCTGGGCTGTGCTCTCTTAGATATGGTTAAATGCCCCCATTTAACCTCAGTGTTCACTTCACAAAACTGGAAGAGAAGGAAGGACATAACAAGAAGAGCCGCTGGTCCTGAACTGAAGCTTCCGTATGAACCAGTAAACACTCTCGCGATAACTTGGGACTTCATGGTTCTCGCGATAACCTTGGGCAGCCCTGGAGACTGAAGTTGCTTTTTCTCCCATTGCTCATGTTTTCATTATTCCTTGGCAGAGAGGAAACAGGTAAGGGGATTCACTGGGGTGCTTTTCTCTAAATTTAGAGTTATTAGTGACAACTTTTGAATTTCCAATTGACCCCTCTAGGGAGTAAGAACAAGGTTAAAATAAAACAGCAGCTCCTCTTTATCCCGTTCCAGAATCTTCTGTTATCTTTCTCCTTGGCTGCCAGTTTTGAAATTTATTGTATTTATATTCCTTTCCTTGAGTAGTTACTGTTGTTTCTCTTTCCTTCCTCATCCCTCTCCCACTTCTTTCTCTAATTCTTGCTACTTTTTTCTCATTTTGTTGGGCATTTAGGAAGGAAAGTTCTATGAAGCAGTTAAATGTGCCATCCGAAATCATACTCTGGAATACGTTTTGGAGATGGAATGTAGAGGTCTTGCTAATAAATTAATTTGGAAAAAAATGAGGAAAAGGCAGAATCACAGATGATTCATCAGTGTTTTTGCCTCAGTGACTAAATAAATGATAGACAAGATTGAGATACCTGTGAAAAAAGGAATCAGAGGTTCTGCTTTAAGCATTTTAAGTCTGAGGACCTTGGCATCGATGTGGAAATATGTGGAACTTCAGGGAAACCTTGGGCTGCTGGATCCACGTCTAAGAGGCTTCCTGTAAAGATTGTACCTGCAGACATGGATCTGGAGAGAGAGAGTATAAATACTGAATAGGTTAGTGTTTAGTGAACATAGTGTACAATAATCAAGATATCTATATGCATGAGTTCTTTAGACTCAGAATAATCTATCTTTAGTTTAACAAGTGTCTAAGGTCTTTTTTTTTCTTTTTATTGAGGTTATTGGTACAATCTAGGTATACAATACAATTACATTCATCATTGGGATTCTGTACCTTTACATAATAGGTCTTGATTCTCATTTTTCCCCTTGTCCCTGCCCTCCCTTCACCCCCCCTTCCCTCCCCATTTACAAACACTTTATTTCCATTTTTTCAGTTTCTCATATTTTTTCCTCTCCCTTATTGCCTTTCCCCCACCCTTCCCACTTTCCTTACACCTTTAGCCCTTTACTTCCTATTTTACATTATTAATTGTCTCATTAGGATCCTTCTTTTAGCATTAAAGAATCAAGTTAGTAGTTGGTATGAATTAGGCAGTCTTCCTTTCAATTTTAAAATTCTGAGTAGTTTGTCTTAAATGGTACAATTTATCAAGAAGTTTAAAATGTCTTAATGGCCTCCCTAAAGAAAAATGGAAATCAACCCTTTTATACTCGGGGAAAATGAAGCATTCTCTAGCAAAGGCAGCCCAGCGTAAGGGGTAGATTATGGACACTGGACCACTATGTCTCCATCACACACTTCCCTCGAGCTTTTGCTTATGTTGTTTCAAATCCTATCCTTTTTTCCAGAGCTTTCGATAACTATGAAAGTACAGTATTCCAGCCCTCCCCTGAACTGCGATAGCTTTTTGTGCCTTCGTTTTGTATTATATTATATTCTGTGAACTCAGCTAGTTGAGGGCAGGGAGCTTAACCATGACATTGTTTCAGTCCGAAAGTGCCTGGCATGCAAGGGAGCAAGTCACCACTTTTTGAAACCAGTTATGTTTATGTGTCCAGAGTCCGTTACAGCAAATGAAATTCATACTTCTCTATGTTAAGTGAAACGATTTTACACAAATTTAAAATCGTAATGTTTTGTAAGAAGAACTGGGAATCAAGACCTGAGTCCCAGCACCATGGCTTGCCAACTGGTCAGTCTTAGTCTATAGTCTCTGTCCGTCGAGTGATAGTGCCTGAATATGCCTTCCCTGGGTTACAGAGGTGGGAGGCCGAATGAGATCAGGTATATGGAGTCCTGGTTTAAAAAGAAAGCACTATAAACCAGAGAGAATATTTCCATTCCTTTTCAGCAGGAAGTGGGGCATACAAGCAATTATTTTCAACCTATCGTTAGAAACACTGAGATTTGTGAACTGCTGCCCTCTCCTAAACCCACACCCCAACTCAAATGAGTTGTTTTCCATCCTCCCATTAATTAAGAATACTCTGATTTATGTAACACATTGAATACGGATGACTCTCTCAAAGAGTATGGGCTTGGTAGTAATGTGAGAGTGAGTAAATGCCAGTGAAAACAATATGGTAGATTCAAGTGCTTTATTCCCAGTTCAGTTCTTCCTAAATTAGACTTCTTTATATTAATTCAGTGCAATAATTTGGAGAGGCTATTTTTTTTAATCATTGTAAATGGATATAAGGAAAAATACCATAATGTCAACACAAGAGTACCATGAAAGCACTGGAATTGGGTTTCTGGGATGACCTTATCCAGCACAGCTGTCTCCACCTGCAAAACAATCTCCGCCTGTCGCACAATGGAGAACAGTTTCTCCAGCTCTTGTGACCTTCGTGTGGGCTGTAGCCAGTCAGCCTGCATCGCACTACAGAAATTGTGTTCAAATTGGGATTTCAAGACTGGCCATGTACCAAATTTGGGACCTCAAAAGTCAAATCATATAATTGTCCCAGTTATCTGTTGCTCTTTCAGAGAGATTTTATGCACAGTCTTAGAACCAGAGTTTTGACAAACTTCAAACAGAACTTAGATTAGCAACTTAGATTAGCTGGCAAGCCAGATTCCCATAGATGTTACAAATTTAAAGCATTAAGCTATTGTACGAAATGTAATTCGAGGTCCCTTGCAGTGCACTAATTACTCAAAACCATTATACTGTATTTAAACAAGTAGGCATTGCCCCTTCAATAAATAGAAATCATAGCAGTCAGTATACAAAATCCTGTTGGAATTCCTTTGTATTAGAAACACTGCAAATAAAAAAATTGGTAATGATGATGATTCCTTTAAAAAAATTGTTCAGTGGAGTGTTTAATCTCCTGGATATCTGTTCAGAATGTTGTTTGAAGCCAGGTGTGGTGGCACTCGCCTGTAATCCCAGCACTCGGGAGGCTGAGGCAGGAGGATTGCTGTGAGTTCAAGACCAGCCTGGGCTACATAGTGAGTTCCAGGTCAGTCTCAACTACATAGTGAGACCCTGCCTCAAAAAACAAAAAAACAAAATAAAACAATGTTGTTTGTGACCAGTGCAAATAACAGATCTCAGTATTGATGATACTGATCACTGCCTGGTACTTCAAAACACGAGCTACATATGCATCTAAAATCTCTGGCAATTGTACTTTAATGTATACTTTTGCTTAATTAACACCTTAATGTGCAATTTTATGAACATTCTCTCTACCTAAAAAAAAAAAAAAAAAAAAAAAAAAGGATTTTTTTCCAGTATGGCAGTTAGTTGCCCAGTTGCTAGGTAACAGGGAAGATCTCTATAGCTTTATCTGAGCATGCAGCAGATGATTTTTTTCAGTGACAATTATTTATATCCAATCTATTAAAGTATGCCATATTGATAATGATTAGACAAACTGTGGATGTACTTACTGTGCATTCAAGAGAAAGTGTGCAGCTATTCACAAAGCTAGTTTTGTTCTAATCTTTTTTTAAAAGCAATGATTAATCTTTGCTACTAGGAATAAACAGTTTTCTAGCAGCAATAGCTAGATTGTTTATTTGATAATTCCTGCAACTGGCTGATGATAGTCAAAAGCATTATCCAAACTTCCCAACTAATTGAACAACACACTTTCTGTAAAAGAATGTTGTGTTAAACATGGTGTCCATTCAAATGTCACAAAGTTGGAATCTTTTGAAAATTCGTATTATTCTTTGAGCCATTTGTCATTTCTGATACTCTAATCATTCAGGAACTGCAGTCCTACACCTGGAAGTAGCAGCTGATATAGAAGATATTTTTATTTGTTTTATTTTTTATCTTTTGAAGAGAGAGCTAACATAACAGTGTAACCTTTGTTACACAATCAGTAATGGTGTCTTCTTAGAGATCGTTTAACATTAAGGAAGAGGATTTGTGACTTAAACATTACAACAATGGATTTCTGTAGAAAGGGAGAGAAAAAAATCTCTCTCCACTGATTCCGGATTTTCTTCAAAATAAATTGCCTTTCATCAGATGGATTGATTTGCTTCAATGCTTCTTCGTATATTACAGGAACTGTATGAAATATATACTTCAATTAATTTTTCTCTTGTCATTTATATTGGTAGATCTAGATCATTACTGGATAGAATTTATGCATTGGATTAATAGCCATTCGTCATGGTCTTTTTTTTGCATTAAAGATCAAAATAGTGTTTTGGCAACAGAAATAATGCATTCTATAGAGTCAAAAACAGTCAAAGATGAGCTATTCCCTGTCTACTGAGTGAACTCAGGATAATGCAGTCACTGCACAAGTCAGTATACCAGGAAGCTAGTTTACACAGAAAAGAGTTTAACATGGAAAATTGCACTTTAATAATGCCCACTAATTAAATGCCTAGAGTCAATACATCCCGCTCTCACTGCCTGGAAAGCTATAAAAGCCACCAGGAATGATTGATTACTTGAAATTTCTGTAAACTACAACAAAAGCATATAATATGTATTTTTTTCTACTCTCTTTTGCAAGTCATATATTTTATTGAGTATGGACTAAAGAACCGGGGATTTACAAGATAATTTAATGACAATTTATTTGATTATTTATGCCACAGTGTTCAGGTATCAGTGTGGCATTTAAATTCCAAACCTGAATTGGAAATCGGTCTTCTGACCTTTTCTCCACTCTCTGTTTTATTTGCAATGCCATATAAATTTGCCTCATTTTTAGAAAATCTGCTATTGAAATCATTTATTATAAAGTTTTCAAAAACCTTTTGAGACAGGGAATTAAAGCAGATATCTGTTTGGTATTTAAAATTTTTTCTCTCTTTATGATTTAGAATTTACTTCAAGATTTTCTTAGTTTTTTACCATTTCTCGCTTAGTAATTATGGGAGGAAAACTGTATACAGAACTTTTTAAGACCCTGTTCACCTTCTGTCACTGGATATACTTCAGATTGGTGTATATTTTTATTTTCAATTGATGCATTGATCCCTACCTTTCTTTGTATCAGCAT